TTGAAGTATCTGAAAATTTAGGTCAGATGTAAATCTGAAAGTATTATCATTTTATTGGGCTATCAAATAATTATATATGACGTTCAAATTGATTGCTAGAATATCTAATTTTTTTTTGTTAATACTGCCATCATATTTAAGTCATTCTACAATAATAATTTGATCGTCCAATGAAATTATTTTCTAAATCTATGCCTGATAATTATATATATTATATATTTATATATATATATATATATATATATAAATAAAACCATTCTTTCCATGTAAGAATGAATATGTATTTAATCCGATCTCTCGCATGACTTTTCGATCTTGGATAACAAAATATCAAGACTAATGACGCATTAAATTATGCAACTTTGTCAATTTTAATTGTCGGACGGAACGAGAAATATTAAAAAGAATATAAATTAAAACTGATTGAATACTCAGAATAAGTATTTAAAGAGAAGAGATTTCCATATTTCTTTTTGTCACAAAATTTCAAATAATGAAAGTTTAAAAAACAAAGTTAAGACAAAAAATACTCTATTAAATGCTTGTTATTAAAAAATGTAAGAATGAAAATGTCAAAGTTTTCAAGAGAGATTCCCAAGAAACATATCAAAGGGAAACATATCAAAGGAAAATTCTTCAGATTTAAAGTTTCTGAAAATCCAAATTTTATAATGCGTATATTTATAATTTGCGTATAATTTTATTTCCAATGTGAAAGCTTGTGAGATATCTTAAAAGAAATAGTATGACAATACAATCTGAGAAAAGATAAATATTTCGCTTATAAGCCTGCCATATTAGCCTGCAGAAAATTAAACACTTTTCGTGCGCAACCCTTTATGACTAAATGAGAAGATTAAAGAAATATTATGCAAATCAAGCAAAATGTCCTTTACCAAATTAGGATACCAAAATCCCATTGATGAAACACTGCTGTCTGGTGTTCGCGAATTAGTATTCCCCACACCCCTTCGCGGCATGCACGGTATATCATATGTCGGACAATGGCCAGATAATGCCATTACGTCCCCGTTAACAGCCATAATATCGAACGACAATGATGCCAACAGCTACGTCGGCTACGTCGAATGATAAATGTCATCGTTGAAGTGGAATGGCACACTCTTGCATTGGGGTGCGGGAAAGGGACGGAGAATATAATGCTTGGTCCGTAACTAGTCCTTTGAATACCCTACACTAGATCCAACTGTAACTTACTATCCTAACAATAAAAAAAATTCAAAATTAGATGAAATAAAAATAGCTGCGAATTTAAAAGCAAAGTTTTCTTGAATCTGCGTAATGTATAAATCTCTCTCTCTCTCTCTATATGAGAATTAATACTTTGATGTTTAAATACTTGAGAAATAGATAAGAACGTATGAAATTAAAGTTTTAGATAATTTTTAAGAATTTAAATACAAGAAATTCAGAAATTAAAGAGCTAAAAATTTAAAGATATAGTTACGATATTGCAATTCCTCCGACAGAAAGTATGACGGAAAGTCAAAAAGGCGGAGGGCAAGACTGATGCTCACCGGGGCAGGGGAAGAAAAATAAATGCGAGCCAGTGGAGCGAACTAAACGCCACTAAACGGGGGAAACTGGGGTAAAAACATACGTTTCCGCTTTTCTCCCATAATACATCATAAGCGTGTGCGAAAACCGGTCCCTATTGTGCGGGCCATTGTGCAAGGATAACGAATGTTTATTCGTGATCCTCGGGAGCTTCTGACGATTATCGTGCCACAGTGTTTTGATTCTGCGATTTTTCATGGTCCTATCTGCCTTACTGTCCCGACCCGGATTGACCCTCGCGTGGGAGGGACGGAGAGGGGGTTGGACAAAGTCCCGAATAAAGTATTCTGACGAATCACTATTGTCGCTGACGTTCATGTTAAACGTAGAAAAAAATTTATCGACTCGATCACATCCTCGATTCCAGATCTCCGATTTATTTATCAATGTAAAATCGCGTAAATCAGAAAAACCTAACATTGAGAATATCCTACAATGATGAATTTAAGAGATAAAATGAAATTGAAGAATGAATTGAAATTTACAGAATTTAAAGATCCAAGAATTAGAAATCTCTCTGAAAATGTTCGAACGTCACAACGTGACGGATTTATCCCTTGTACAATAAATCTATCTTGAGAAGAAAATGGTCTTCGATATTGGTGTCATCGTAGGGATGCGGAAGCTTCGTTTAATTTAAAAGCGACAATTCGTCGATCATAAGGAGGTCGAAGTGGCTCCGCGGGAGGGAAAAGGGGATGACCCACACGAAAAATCGTCCACCGTGTCTAAAAGCCACCCTCTCCTCCCCGGAGTCTCTTCTCCCCCCGCCGCCCGTGTCGAAGACAGGATGGCGCGTGCTACCACGGAGCTACCGCCCTATAATGTGTATATTATGTTAACAAATAAGTGGTCGCGGTAATAAAAGCCTGCCATGACGACTATCCCTTCCCTCTTCGCCCGCCCCCTCCTCGCTTGCGCGCGTAATGTATGCGCGGGATATCTTGAACAATATTCCCGCGACTCCCGGCTGACATATAATAGCGCGTATAAATAATAACGTCTCCGCTCGGCACCCCCCTCAACTGCTCCTCCTCCCCTCTTTTCGTTTCTCTACCCTTTCTGTCAGGGCCGACGTCTGCATCACGAATGCTTTATTTCGCTAGACTTACCGTAAAACTATCAATTTAAAAATTTTTATGAATCATTACGTTCCCTTTTGTTAAGATTTATTTCTTCATTTTCTAGTTATCTAAAATTATCTATGAAGTAAAGATAATTTTTTAATCTCTTTCTCGTTTTGACCGATCATTGATAATCGCTGCACTCTATAATTTTCTTACAACTTTGTTTTTTACTTTTTATAATAATAAACATAAATAAGTTGTCACGCGGGTCTTTCAGGATGCAGCCCTTCCTTTTATAGCGTCCGTCCTAGTTGCTCTCTTAGAATTGAGTAGAAGAGAGGTAAGATGCCGCGACGAGAGGGAGGGGACCCGTAGGTGGAAGCCGGAAGGTGGGAAGGGGGAGAATAACGGGGTACAGAACGAGAGCAGTGGGGTGGGTAGCTGCGGGACTGAAATATGTACAAACTTGCGGCTCCTTGTTATGAGCGGTGATAAATTACACCAGCAGAAAGAGAGCGGTTCGAGAGAGGATGGGAGCAAGGATGGAGAGCTGGCAGTCTGAGGGCGAGGGCGGCAGGGAGAAAGGGATAACGCTATTATAAGTATCGCGGATATAGCGATTTCGGCGTGGCGCGTTGCCGCGAAGGGGGATCCACTATGTCGCGTGTCTCGGTGATTTTTCACGGACACCGTATATCTACGTGGAAAGTATCTCCCTCCCCGATTGGAGTCTCGAGAAGAGAAATTCGGAATATGTGAATGTAAATATTGAGAAGCGGGTCGCCGACATTTTGTCGGAGTGTTCAGGAGCGAGGAGCGAGCGATGATAAAGATTGATAAAAATTTATTGTTCGGTTTTAATATAATTTTAATTTTTAATTGTATTTCACTATCTCTCTGCATAAATCAATTGTGCATTATATTGGAAATTGAACGAAAGCACGGCCTATCCAGAATTTTCAGGAGAGAGGAAAATTTTTTTCAATTTCATCAATACATAAATAAATATTTTTTCCATTAATAAATTACTTTTTGGATATTTTAGACCATAAAATATTTCCTCAATCTTGATTTTAAATGAAAAAAAATATTAGATTTTATAAACTATAACTGTGACGTTTTTTTAATTTTAGGGGGAGAATTGAACTCTCCACATCCCTTCCTCCAGCTGAATACATCCATAAATAAACGTATAAAGATATAAACGTATTAAGATTAAGATAAAAATTGATATGAAAAAAGCAAAAATTTGTTCAGACATTCTTTTAGATTTTTGAATATTTACATTGCGAAAATATAATTTGTATTCGAAATAAATCAAAATTAAGTTCAGAATATTTCATTGAAGTGTTAACCATGATAAGAGAACGATCTCTTATGACGTTCGGATATCTTTAATGTGAAGATAAGTGAATGTTTTTGATTTCAACGGTAAGCTTCATCAGCTTCACGGTGTATTCGTCCCTGAACAAGAATGTGATTTAAGACGCGACTCGGTCAAGCGAATAGGATTCAGTTGGGAATTCAGCTGTGTGGACGCAACCGGCATGATCGTGCGGATCGCCGCTATGACCATGAAGAGAGGATGATGACTAGAAGGAAAATCGACGTCGGATCTCCCGCTTGATGAAGAATTCGGCGCAGTCGAAAGCGGATCGAAAGACTCGATGAATCGATTTAGGCCTGAATCGATGTAATCAACGGCGCGTAAGAGGGGGATGGGATCGTTCGTCATTTATTAGATTGGCGCACAAAACGTCGAATTAGAACAGCTCGATTTATTTGAGAAACATCAAATTAGGGAATTGTTTTATATTTAAGCTAATATTTTAGCGTTGGCATATAACGATTATATACATTTCCATTATAACTTTTCAATTTTTGTAATCTGTTTTTCATATTTCCCGAAAAACGTTTTTTGTCTAATTACTAAGTGAATATCATTGCATTGTATTTCTCTACTTCCTCTCGCTGAGCATTTGTGACACCAGCTAAACCGTGTACTGAAAGGCGAATCACGCGTCAGCAATGCATCCAAGAATTTCTCACAACACCAAGGAATGCTGAGAATGACTATGGTCTGGAGATTAGACCCCCTCGATGCACAACGATAATGCGCCACCACGGAGACATCCTTCGGGGAGAAGACGAGGACAGCAAGATTTGAATGAGGGTGGATGCACCTCGTGAAACTCTTTTCCCGCATAACACTGACGAAAAGTAATCAACATAAAAATTACAATCTCTATTTATAAAAAAGATAATTTAATTCTTTAACATAGTTCACTATCCAATATTAAAAAAAAGAAAAAAAAACTAACAGTTGAGAAATCTAACGTTGTCTGACTAACATTGAAAATTATTAACGGGAAAGATATTTCAAAATTACACCGTAAGATTAATATCTTAGCAAGAAGAAAGTTTTATTTTAAATTTTCAATTTTTTTGAAGATTTTAAATGGAACGAATCGGTGCGAACGATTTGGATGTTTGACGAATCGATCCGACTATCGATTTGCATATCGGTACCGATCGGTCTCTCACGGTAACCTCGTCAGGTATCCACAATGGCCGGGGCTAATGACTATCGGAGACAAGGGGTGACATCGTCCGTCCGAAACTCCCCATCTGTTTCAGTTACTAAATCTTCCCATGCGCGCGACCTAATCGATTACGGTGTTGTACGGGGCAAGGGTATCGGGGACAGTAGCCGAGTCACCCTCAGGGTATCTTGTCTGGCTTAGCGGCTCTTCCTGCTTCCGGTGAAAATATTTCATGGGGCGATACGACAAACAGTCAGAGAATTGCACCAATGCCGTCCCATATTTCGCTATCCAAATTGTATTCTTTTAGCATTTGAAGCACTTTTAATGGCTACAAAAGCTATTCCACGAGCTTATAATAACAACGTAAAATTATATTGACAAGAAAAATGATGGAAATAGGAAGAAAGGGTTAAGGGACTTTCCGTGCGATTAAATCATAGTCATAGTAATCTGATAATTTGAAAGATAAATAAGGATGAGAAAAATATTTACCTTACATTCCTAATACAAATCATTATATATGCACAAAGCCAAGAAAAGAATTCGCTCTTTTCTGGCATTTAACACCAATTACCGAATACGCCGCGCGTCAACAAACGCTTATTATACTGAAAGAGCGAAACAGAAGGGGGAGAACGCGGTAAGAGGAGGAGTCGAGAGGAGTCGGGGAGGGGGGGGGGAG